TCCTCCCATTATTGTATATCAACGACTTTTTAGAAAAAACCAAGAATTCAATATATTGTTTTGCTGACAACACTTGCTGCACACTTTTCTCGTCACTCCATTCGGATTCCAGGACATTTGATGTGGATGCACATTTTCACAGGCAGCAGGAGGTTACATGAAAGTAACCAGTGACTACTTTCAATTCAATGCCACGAAAACCCAGGCATCGGTTTTCTCCAAAAAGATACATGTCTCCGAACTGGATATATAAAGTCAGGTCAGACAACTTCGTTTTCTGCTTCGATAAGTATGATAGGTGTTGAAATGGACACCAATATGTCTTGGCACCATCATGTCGCTGGAATTCCAAACGCTGCTTCTAAAAAGCTTGGAACACTGTTCCGAACCAGAATACTGTACGAACTTAAGCAACGTTTGATACTTTATAAAGCTCAGATCAGACCTTCTTTGGAGTATTGTTCTCTTTTTTACAGTTACAGATACTTTCACGAGAGGTGTTCCAGTGATTTGGCAATTTGATTCCACCAAGAGTGGTACATGTCAGAAATGAGCGACGGTCTGTGGCTGCTTATCGTTTTCAGGTTCAACTCAGTACACCTCGAAGTTTACTGTTCAAGAACTCTTAAATTTGGAGAACTGCGTTCATGTGGAGTACACTTCCTGTGAACAATTTTCCAGCGTGAATCGCTACTTTCCCACAAGCACCGGTCTTAGAGTGCCTCAATGATTTTCCTGTAGTGCTTTCGTTTAGTATTTGAAAAATATTGAATTTCAAAATCATATAATATCAATAACATCAAATGGAAAGCTGGATCGGATAATTTCCAAAATATGATATTTGACTTTTTTGTTCACAAGATGAGATCTCAATAGTTTATTTCAAATTTCTTTTTCATCACAGCAATTATTTGGTATCTTGATATTTTTATCATCTACGTTTCTGAAATCATTTCTCCCAGTGTTGCACAATAATGTATACCTCACTCCTATTTCTAATGAACAAAATTGATGAACTTTTCTTCATTAAAAAATTTCAACAAAGGATATTCAAAACCTACATAGTTTCAATTACTTCTGCTCTGAAAGTACCATTTGCAAAATTATAATTTTTTGACGATGTTTGCTAAAAATAGGTTTCTATCTATTTCATTACATGAAAAAAATTGGATGCACTGAGTACCCTACCTCAAGAACCTGTAAACTCATTGTACTATTTTTTTTTCAAAATATTAACACATTATTTTGGATGATGATCAAAAAGAAGCTGACCTTGCAAATTCTTCATATGAAATGAATTTCACGTACAAGAACTAATTCTCATGTTTCACTGTATTCCAAAAGTGATATTTAAACATGTTAATCCAATTTACGATGATATGTCCTTGGGAGAAATGGTCGAGCTCATCGAAATCAACAATTCTTTTCTACTTACAATTATGTCTCATTGGGTAATTTTTTTGTAATATTTATCCACCATTTCTTTGATTCATCTACAGTTAAGAAAGCCTTGCTTTTTTTAACTTTAAATTTCAGCTAAAAACAGAAAAGTTCGGATCCCACTCCTGAGGTGTTAGATGTTGACGTTGGACATAGTAGCCTGTTAGATTTACTAGAAAAAATTTACAACTGCATAAGAATTATCACAAAAGGTAGAAAAAATCCTGCGTATTACGAAAAAAATTAATGAAAGTTGAACCAAGGGATGAGGGATGAAATAGGATGAATTTCAGGAATGAAAAAAGGTTTTCCATAATTTTTACTTCAATTGAGGATTGTTAAAGTTTTCTACTACTACATAACTTTGAATTTTTCGAGAAGAATTGAAAAAAAAACGGTTTTTCCGGTTTATATTTCTTCTTCTACAAAAATCATTTGTTTCCCATGATAATTGGTTGAAACTAACCTATTGCAATAAGACTGGGTATAGGAGTGCGACTTTTTTGTTGCGAACTAATGGAGTATTTGCCATTATTCGAATGGCCAATGGAAACATTTATAATTATTATTTTTTGTAACGAAGGGTGAACTGGTTGGGCTTCGTCCTCGAAGGTGTACCAGGATCATCAACCATCATAATTATTAGTATAACTAACATTCCATCTTACCATTATGTAAATACAAGAAAGTGCAATTATTTTTCATAAATCCCGACAAATATAATGTAACCGCTAACTCACCTTCTTACTTGGGGCTAAACCTTTATAACAAACTGCTCGACTTATTGAAAACTACCGACAGAATTCAGGTTTTCAAAACCATCCTTGAAAGGTTTTTATTAGAACATAATAAAATAGATGAATTTCTCAATCTTCCGTAATTTTATTTATCTATCACATTAATTTAATGAAGCTGGAGTTGAATGAAGATGATGTTTTGTATGCATATGACAATCTTTCATGTATGTTTGATTTAATTTTACTGTAAGTATTATTTTATGTATATGTACAAATGCTATTTGACCTATACTATAACTTTTTAAGTTCTACAGGATGATTAAAGTGATTTGATTTGATCTTTTTTCTGGTAAGTTGAGCTGAATGACTATTACCCACAACATGAGGTAAGTGATCTGCTCAATATGTACCTTGGGCAGACGCAGTGAGCCAAGAATGACAGCCTTCTGCATTTGTCCGACCAATATTTCCGCCTTAGTACGGCAAGGTGGCAAGATGTAGGGATCCGGGAGTAGAGAGGACATCATTCCACCAAGGACTCCAATAATCAAAACCACTATCTCAACTGAATGATTTGGATCGAATTTGCGGAGTTCGAAAAGAAAATATCGATATTAAATCCGTTTTTCCTTATCTTTTCGGGCGATATTTGTCTCGTCGGTAGCTGGAATTTCCACGACAAATTTGTTTTGCTCTGATGGTCGAGAATAAAAACTAGATCAGGTGGTTAAATCACTTTTAGGGTCGGATTATGTCGATGGATAGCTGAAACTTCATATACTGGACAACCTAAAAGCAAGGTATTTTCATCATTATTATTGTTATCATAATTTTTTTTCAAATCTAAGTTTTCGAGGGTCAGTCTCTATTTCCCCGAAGCCCTATACATTCAGTAGGGCGTACCAACGTAATCAACCAACAACCACTCCCCACACAGTGAAGTAAGTGATTATTGGGTCCGAGAATCTTGTGCTCTGAGTAAGCACAGTGGGAAAGAATGACAGCCTTCTGCGTTTGTTCGGCTTAGATTTCGTTATCAATATCATTTTTTTTTATTATTGATATAATTATTTATTTTGTATTTAAACGAATGGAAATATTCGAGGTTACACTTCATTTTGATGTTAAATCTGAAAAATACTACATTTTCAGCCTAAATTACCGATGTTCAGTACATGGGTATAGAAATAATTTTTTCATTGAACATTGTTCAAGCATTTCAACTGAAAATTTTTATCAAATTAAAAAATCACACAGTAGTGATAGTTTTTTGCACCATTAAAGTAGATATTTCTATAAAAAAATGCCATTGTTAATATTAAAAGGAACTGTTATGAGAACAACAAAAAATATCAAATAGCATATAAAAAAAATTGGTTTCTATCGAGAAAAAAATGGAAAAAACTGGTTTTTCCAATTTTTCTAGAAAAAAGGTAATAGATATCTTCTACAACTTTTGTTCCCAATTTTCTTCAATAGAAGTTCCTATTTCAGTGGAAACTTAAATTCATGGTTTGCGGCAAAAAGTTATTCATGAATGTTGATAAAACTGTTCTGATCCGTTTCCATAACAGACAGAAATATTATACACCAATCAGTTTCAAGAATAATGAGAGGGGAGATTCTGTAACGACAGTCACCGAAAGTACCAAATTCCTGGGACTTCATATCGACCAATGTTTAGGCTGGCATAATCATTGTGAATTTTTAATGAAGAAGTTGAATTCGATAACATTTCAGCTCAGAAATTTAAGACAAGTGTTAAATATTAGTCAGTTGCTGACGCTGTATTATGCTCAAGTTGAGTCCAGACTCAGATATGGCCTATGTTTCTGGGGATTATCGTCACGTTGGAATGAGGTATTCCTAGTGCAAAAAAGAATACTGAGAACCATAACAGGATTGTCAACTAGGGATTCCTGCAAAAATGTGTTCGTTAATTTTAATATTCTAACATTGCCTTGTTTGTTTATATTTGAACTGTGTTTACATGTTTTTAAAAATGACAATGAAATCTTTCTGATGAATAGATGTATCCGCAATGTGAATACTCGTCAAAATATTAATTTGTTTGTACCATATGCCAGAACAAAGCTGGCTTATAACTCACTAAATCTGATGGCTCCCCGAATATTCAACCATTTGCCAATGAATAAAAGGGAGAGCAGGTCTCAAGCCGAATTCAAATATCGCTTGAAATATTTTTTTATGTTCTCATAGTTTTTATACTATTGAAGAGTACATGTCCCATTAGTTTGTAAGTAGTACATGAGATTTTATCAGTGACGGCTCCTACACAATGTATATTTGTCAACAGGAAAAAATAAATAAATAAATAAATAAAATGAAAAATAATGAAAAACCACTTTACATTCCTGAAATTCATCCAATTTCATCTCCGGAACTACGGATTCATTTTTCTCGTGGAGCAAACCGCGGACACGTGTTTCTGAAACTATTTTTATCTTTCATTACTATTTCAATGTATTTTTTGTCCCTTCTCTATGCATAAAATGATATTCTGTCAGTGTTCTACAACTTAACACTTGCAAATTATCATTTCACGATATTTGTAGTAGTAGTAACAATATATACAATAAATTTGATCATTTGGAAAGACATATAATTTTCAATTGTTGATCAGTTTTACGACTGTGTATAAAACTAACCTGTCTCAACTGTGCAATTTGTTGACTCATCAATTATATCCCCAAGACAAACGATCTTCAAATGTAAATCTTTTATCTATTGTTTTATTGTTTTCGATATCAATCTCATCAAGTGTTTTAACTGCAAAAATTATTGTCGGCATACTTATGGAATCACATAAAAGGAGATGACGTTCGTTTATTCAACTTGTTTTGTATTTTTTTATGCCAAAAAACCGAACGGAAAATGTTTTTCAGAACCAGTGTTTTCGGAAAGAGGATTCTACAATATATTGCTGCAATCACAGGTCAGTCTAGAGTTATTATTTTCCGAATGAATTGTGAAGTTGATTGCATAGGGAAAAATATAATGGATAATTGGCATAGTTTTTTTAGGAATTATACTCCGAGTTAAATGTCGAAATCCAACAAAATTATTAGCTCAAAGTCGAAGCTAAATGAAATTCCAAATTTCAAGTCGAAATTTGTTAAAAATCTCGAGATTGGAGTCGGATTTCAATAAAATTATCATCATTTAATTTTGACTCCAACTCCAAAATAAATATTGTTGAATTGCCTGATTATTTCTACGCCTTCGTAGTTGTTATTCAACTTCTACTTATTCAATCATAAACTGGAATGATACATCAGTTGTGAATTTCCGAAATGATGTCTATTTGATTTCTATTTATATGTATAACGCTTCAGTTTCAAATGGGATATTATTTAGTATGAAACCAATTAATAGAGCTTTATGAAATATATTTGTATTGAATCGAAAATTATTTACAGAATTACAGAAATTCAAAGACATAAAATGTATAAAGAGAGTGGTTTCTCTTGTCATATATATTAATATTTTTGATAATAATAATGAATCGTCTTCATTCATCTTTCAACACACATGTGAATAGATAACAATAACAGATATTCAATAAAGATGAAGTGGCGAAGTATCACCCGAGGGTGTTTTTCAACTTAACCGTCGAAATAAAATATTGATTTACAATTTCATTATCTTAGGTATATCTACGAAATATAATTCTATTGATTAGCTCTTGTTTTGCGGAGGCAAAAGCCCAGATTGATCATTATGGATGGTCATATAAATTCAACCCAAAGTATTGAAACAGATCACTAAATTAAATGATCTCATTTGGACGCCATCTACAGAAATTTACAATCATATATTGCCCCCATTTCCAATACTTGTTATTGTAGATCAACTTAGTTCTGCTGCCAAAAATTGGAGTGGCAGAAGTCACTATCAAATCCCCTATCAAAAATTGGAGTACCAGGATTTCACCCAAAAAATAAAATAAATATGAAAATACAGAAGAGTCACGGAAATTTGCGAGTAGGTGGTGCAATCTTCAGTAGGTTCCTCAATAGAAAAGTTCAAGAATTCACTCATTCGAAATAGCAATCAAATACAAGGTTTTATTCTAGAATATCATCTCCAGAAATCATTACTGAAGGAAACAATAATTTTTTCGATGAATTTCAGAGTACTTAGAAGCTACTCATCGACTCCAAAAGTTAAAAGGATACACGACAGGTTGGGTAATGAGCGGAAATCAGGTATACATATAGAATTAATGCTTTTTATGGAAATATCCAAAGAATGAGCAATAAACTAAGTGAATTAGAGTACTTTCTGCATATGAACAAAATAGACATATTGTTCCTTACTGAGATTTGGGTATCTGAATCTGAAATAACAAACATTGTCATTCCAAACTTTAAAATTATAGCGTACTATTTTAGATACACGTCTGCTCATGGTGGTGTATGTGTTTTTGCTTGGTATTTGTTGAAAATTAAGTCAAAAAAAATAAATGAATTGTGTGTAGACATTTGTGCTGAATTCACGTTGATAGAGCTAGTTAATCAAAGAATATATTTCTTATGTATACAGCGTGACTCACGGTCGATGGTAGGTTAGACGTTTCTGGAAAACGCAAAGCATGATTTCTCTGAAAATTTCACCTCTCACATTTCCTTACCTGTTCTATCGATCTAAAATATTTTCAGCATTGCGGCGTTGCCACTTCTATCAAAAAGTCCTAGCAACTTTATTTTTTTAAATAGAACACCCCGTATATTAATACATTTTTGGCGTAACATGTACGGCCGTAACCGTAGTAATTTCACAAACCGGAAACGATCTGATCTTCACAAACTTCATTTCCAAAAATATCATGACATGTTTTGCTATCACATTAGCTTTTTTGTAGTGAATTACATGTTCTTCACTGCGAAAAAGCTATTGTGACTATTCTCTGAGAACAAGCTATTGTGAAGAAATAAGTTGTGTGTGTACAACTCAAATCCTATCGAATAACTTAAACAAATCAAATCAAACAAATAATTTTTTCTAACATAACAGTTTTGTGTACTTTATGAAGTTGAAAATGATTCTGGTTAGATGATTATTCAGAATAAAAATTGAAATCACCGATAGTGTTGTTCATGTAAATCCCTTTCAAAATTCAATCCTTTACACCTTTTATCGGCTTTGGTTCAAAGGCCAAGTAATGTTACCACCTGTTGCATCGATTCTTACAAAAGGTTTTATTCATAGATGTCGCCCACCGAATCTAAGTATGTCGTTAGGAAAACTAAAAATCCATCTATATCTGTGCATCACTTCTCATATAATAATTACTACTAAATACTGCTGAGAGGAATCTCAGAACTGTTGAACCAGAAAATCAAATTGTTGGTATGATACAATCTACGAGATGAAATGGATAGAAATGACTCATTCGCGTTCAGATTGTCTTGTTACCAGTGCAAAATTAAAAGTGGTTAAATGGAGTGTTACACCATATGTAAAGAAACTGGCCAATAGTTGATGAAAATCTATTATGATATTGAAATAAATCTTTATTGCGAGCACTTTAAAGTTCTGAACATGCCTGAAGGAGTAATTGCATGGCGAAACACGTGTCGCGAGTATAACCTATAATATGAAAATCCCACGTGGTTTTCAAATACATTATAATCATACAATTTCGTTGATGGCTAGCAATAATAGTATCGTCCAAGGTTAATTGACGTAGTGGTGAATTTCACTGGTTCGGACTTCCATTGTCTACTATATAAAATGATTTGAAATCCCTGAAACAAGTAAAAAGTGACGTAGTGGTAGTGCGCCTGACTCCCGATCGAAGATGGTGAATTCGATCCCAACCTTGACCAGATATTTTTCCCGAGATAATTCATCCAGTTGAAATGACTCTGCAACGTAACATGGCTGACGGACTGCGAATAGCTATGATGTTACGTAGGTGGCTTGAAAAGATATTAACCTCAACTGCCCAGAACACGATGCTAATGATCAGAGTAGTCGATGCCGTTGACGACAAAAAATGAATAGGTATCGTCTAACGGTGAAGAGTAGCGATAGTATAATTCTCAGCTCATCATATTTCTCTCATCACCAATTTATTCAAGAATTCGAAATATTGCGTGATATACCCAATGTGGATAGCTGCTTCAACTTGGCATCCAATCGATGTGAACATGTGGACCAATTATACCACTGTGCTCGAGATTTCCTAGCTACAAAGTCTTCTTGCCTCTATAATTTTGAAAATCCTGTAAACTCACATACTTTCCATTTATAATGAAATCAGTTGGATTGCATCCACATAATTAAATGGGAAGAAAAATAGTCAAGCTACAGTTAACTTAAAAAATGACGTTTCTTTACTCACACATATTTTATCCTCTCCATGCACTACTTGTACACTATTCATTTCGTTCTATCCTCGTGATCATTCCATGATCTGGCTTAGTCTAGCGGCTAGCTTTGGGGTGCCAGTACAAGTCAAGACCGGTCAATAAAAAACTTTTCTTCAGTAAACCTTCGAAGAAGTTGCCAATGGCTTTGTTGTCATACAGTTCCGCTTGCATTGGAAAGCGAATCTGATTAAAGATTTCCCATTCACGAAGATCATTACTATCACGCCGTATATCTCACAACATTGCACACCTCGCGTCTGCGACTCATACTCTCGTTCTCATCACCAACCTCACCCTCGCCTCAACTACCGTTTCGCTCCTCCACTCTTCCAGGACATAAATAACAGATCAGAGCTTGTGAGCCCATAGTCGTCGCTTGGGCAGTTTGACATCCAGGTGAAGACCACTGACGAGTCCTGGGGAGTATGTAGTTTGAGACCTTAGTATTGTTATACTTTCTCAAGTCATTTAATTCACCTATATCAAAATTGTCTCTAATAATTTGTTACTTGAATATAATAAAAGGTTGTCTTAGCTATTTCAAATGATGTTGATATTGTTGATCATTAGAAATACCCCTTTTCCTATTGAAAATATTTTATTTTTATAGGAGCGCTGGCATCGATGAGTTCTGGAATCAATGCAAGCTGGACCTCTCCATTCATTTCGTATCTGACTTCCAACTCCTCCACAATTCCAATGACTAGCGATGAAGCTGGATGGTGTGCTATAGCTCCTGCGTTGGGATGTGTAGTGGGACCACCTATGGCAGCCTTACTAGTAGACAGAATCGGCAGAAAGAAGACTGTCCTTGCACTTGCTCCCGTAGTTTTTTTCTCTCAACTTGGTATTGGACTCATAAGAAATGTCTGGATTCTTTCCCTGTTTAGGTTACTAATTGGTGCAGCTGATGGGGCTGGTTTCACTGCTCTACCGATGTACATAGGCGAAATATCCTCACCTGATATAAGGGGTTTTTTATCATCTTTGATCTGTTTGTTCTTCACTTTGGGGGTTTTACTTATCAACACGATCGGGTGTTTCCTCAGCATATTTACTTGCAGTTTAATTTGTGCCGCTATTCCTGCCATACAATTTCTGGGTTTTGTTTTTATGCCAGAATCTCCTTATTACTACATCAAAGTGAAGAAATTCCAAGAAGCAGAACAATCTTTAAAGAAGTTCACAGGACTTGAAAACGTTGAAGAGGAAATGAAGGTACTCTCAGAAGCGGTTCGAGAACAGGAAGAAATGGTGAGGAATTCCAAATTCACCGATCTTTTCGTGGTACCGAGAATTCGAAAAGCTACTTTTATATTCATAATTATAGGCTTGGCTTTGAGGGCGAGCGCAAAGGCTCCACTCCTTTCCTACACAAAAGTAATATTTGATGAGTCGGGAAGCGATATCAGTTCTTCACTTTCTACTATCACTTATTACGTTGTGGAATTTTCAGTCATGACGTTCACAACTTATTTTGTAGTTGATCGGTTCGGTAAAAAAAAATTGTCCATTATTTCCTTAGCTGGATGTGCTATTGCTTTGTTTCTGATTGGCTTGTATTTTTACCTGAAGGACTTTCACAACGATATTATTGGCTCTTTGAATTGGCTTCCTCTCGCGAGTCTAGTATTGTATAGTGTTATGTTCAATATCGGGTTGGCTTTTGCTCAAGTGTGCTATTTGAGTGAACTTTTTCCTACAAATGTCAAAGCCAAAGCTCTCAGCTGTGCGGAAATCTCTACTGTTATAACGAATGCTATTACTGTTAAGTTATTCCAGGTCATGAATGACAAACTTGGTAGCCTATACGGTTCATTTTTTTGTTTCTCAGCACTCAGTATCTCTATACTATTTTTTGTTGTAAAATATGTACCAGAGACCAGAGGAATGACTTTGGAAGAAGTTCAATCATATTTGACTGACACTCAGGAAACAGACGATAGGAAAGTGGATGGATCGCCTCATTAGGAAATAAATGATGTGGAAAACGTATCGAAAGATTATACATGAGTTTTGTACTGTATTTGAAGTTTAATAAATTTTATGATGGCGTAAACTTAGGTTCACCCTTCCAGTAGTAAGGCATTCAATGAATTGAATGGGATGTATTTTTTTTTACCTCAAAATGTGATTGAAATAAAAACCAATAATAATGATTTTGAAGATTATCTAGCACTAAAACTACCATATTGCCATATCAGTAGCGGTGTGTTCATATGATATGAGTTTACTAAAGAATTTCTGACCCTGAAAGGTGATCTGAATGAAAAGAAACATTTTTTTAATGAATGGATTCATTGCAGATCGCTGCATTATAAGATATAATAAAAAACATGCAAAAACATTTTTTTTTGAGTGTTTCCGATGGTTTTGACTGGAATATAATTACTTCGCCAATTTTAATTATACACACCAGAAATTTAATTGAATGAAAAACTGCATCATCAAGTTGATCTTCGAAATTTTCAAGACCATCACTTTCTTCGTCTTCAATATTATTTCCAGTCTGCATTGGTTCTTCATCCACAATTTTATCTGAATCATTAACTTCCTCGTAGGTTTTTTCCATATTGGATCAATTTTGAGAATCATGAAAATTGGAGAATAAAGTTGTGCATTTTAAACCATCTGTTGGACAGCCACATTTTAAACTGTTTCACAGCTGCAGCAAATAGTTTCAAGCAATTCTTCCGGAAATAATTCCTTTTTTGTAAATTTGGGTATAATGCCACGTTGATGTTGCTTCCAGCCCCAATCTGTCAGTACATTACCCAACCAAGTTTGAAGCTGATAATATGCCCTGTAACAATGTTGTTCTGCTGCTCCTTCTGTGGGTGGGAGGTTTGACAAAATGAAAGATGATTTAATTTTTGCCAATTGATATTTTTGAAATCTTAATTGATTCTGTGTTATTTTTTCATTTTTACATTTATAAGTAGATTTCATTAATTGTAATCATCTTTTTTATATTTTCTTTACTCGCATCTTTCTTATAAAAAACATTGGCCAAATTTGACAAATTTTCAGCATCTAATAATGAATTTATGATACTTTTCTTTTCTTTTCCGGCAAATCCAGATGTTGTATCGCAACCGAAAAAACAATGCCGAAATACAATAATATCCTTGGATTCATATTTTAAACTATTTGACGTGAAAAATAGATCCTTTAGTTGAAGTACTTGCTGGTACTGTGGTGACAGTAACTGATTTTTCAATTTCGGGGTACCCATCAAAGACAATATATGGAATAGCTGTATGAAATCTTATGTTTTTCGAGTAATTGAAGTGTAAATTTCAATGAATAGCTTAAAATTGTACATAATTATTAAAAAAAATCGAATTCGAGTTTTTTCGATTTTTTGCATTATCTGAGAACATTTACCATTGTTATGTATATTTTTTACACCATCAGAAAGTAGAGATTTCAACTAACCAAAAGCACACCAACTCTTTGAAAAAAACTGATATTTTGACGCAAGAATTTTCAATTGAAAATAAGGGTGCTTTTTTGATATTAACCATTTAAAACTACTACCAATATTTTCAGAAAAATCTCCAATTTTTTGACATATACATATTTATTCATATATACTAAAACATCTCTGGGGTTTGAACAAAAAAAAATAATAAACTAAACAATATTTTTTTGAGTTTCGTAAACGCAACATTGGTAACAAATGCATAAAAAATTTGAAAATATTATTCATGATATTTCTTGAAACAGTTCGAATATAGTGGAATCCTACATTTATTGCACATGAAAACCGTTGTGCTTTTACATAACCTGCATCGTCTTCTCCAGTTCTCTGAATTTTTTTCTATTATATGACCAACATTATCGAGTCCGACAGAAGATGGTAGAGATGATGTGGAACCACGTCCTCGGATAGATTGTGCCCTACGTTTGTTGGTACTCATGAGGCTTCGTGCAAGTTCGGACCTGAAATCCAGCTGCGAAATAGGCTTATCACTATATACAAGCCGGTGAAGTTTCCAAGCATTCACCACAGAAGAATCTAACATGTTTATAAACAATGGCCACCAACATTTTTTCCCGCGAATATTGATTCGATAGTTTGCGATTGCGTTATCATGTAAATCAACGCCTCCCATATATTTGTTATATCTGGCAATCATGTTAGATTGGAGAATCAAAGTTTCGCGTTTCTCCTTTTGATTGTACCTTTTCACAGATACAAGAGGCTGCACAGATTCACAATTGGTTGCTACTGTTACCACGGAATTATCATTCCAACGTACTATGCCAATTTCATTCACGTGATCGTAACGGGAATCCATATTACTACGCAGTTTTTTTCTATTAGTTTTATTGTTCTCTAATGGGCATTTCAGAATCCTGTTCTCGCGTACAGTTCCAGTTGCAAAATATCCTTCATTTTTTAAGTGAACTAGTAGCTTATAACTTGTGAAAAAGTTGTCGAAATGAATCTTATGAGCTGATATAGTTTTCAGCACTTTCAATAGATCAATAACAACCTCTTCACCAAGACCAAATTCCTTTCTGACTTTTTGAGGATTTCTTCCACCATAAGGTATGAATTGGTATAAATATCCATCACTAGAAGTTAGGCACCACATTTTGAGACCAAAACGTACCGGTTTTCCCTTCAGGAACTTTTTGCCGAATGACGACCAAAATAGGGTACCATTTGTTCATCAATCGACAGATGATGTCTGAAAATACCATATTTCAAGTAATTCGCATTCAAAACATCAACTGGTGGTCGACCATAGGCGAATTTGTCTTCCTTATCCAGCTGATTGTTGTCGGCAAGGTGAATATCTCGCTTTATATCAAGAAATCTGTTTCGAGACATTGTATCTTTCACAAATTGAACTCCTTTATCTTCATTGGGACGGTTATGATCTCTGGAATATTTGATGGAATTATTTATTATCAACTGCATCACTTCCCCATCAAACATTTGCTTGAAGAAATCTAGTACTGATTTTCCATGAAGTTCCTCAATCATAGATTTTACGCCCCTTTCCTCATTTGAAGTAACATCAATCTCGTAGTCGACAGGTGTTTTACACCAAATTATATCTTCTATCCTTGCCGCTTTTTTTGGTGGAGGCAAGGCATCGTTAGCCACATGCATTATTTCAAACGTTCCTACTAAATCCTCGTCGATATTCTCCTCATCCGTAAGATCATCGACCTCGGGTGGTATATAACAAATATCAATATCATTTTCCTCGTTCAGGTCCAGATCCTCAACAATTGCTTCTAATTCTCGGTCAATGGTCTCTTCCAGTCGTTATTGTTCATTCTACTCTGAAACAATTATGAATAATCGAAATACGCACATTGGGCAACAAGAAATACTCACTATTACTCTGCAGTCCTCAAGATGACGATATTCTAATGCACGATAATAAAAAATGGCCCTACCTAGTACCTACGCAACGGAAGAACAGTGAAATCGTCCAGACGTGAAACTACAAGTTCCGACAGGAAAATTGACGACTTCCACAACTGCTACACTGTTCGTACCAATGTTGCGTTTTCGCAACCATATATTCAAACAACTTGAAAAAATGTTCCACAATAATTTTATTCTCATTCGGTAAATGAGTATTATTTTAGGAAGTTTATTTCGTATGAATATTTTGATAAATGATGAAAAAAGTCAATCGATGATTTTATAATGACTTTTTATTATTATCGAATTTTTTGGTGGAAAATTATCAAGGAATGGTTATCGTCATACAACATTTCAAATATTTTTCAGTACTAAAAAAATCAATTTCAGTATATTTAGATATTTCACTATTCGATACCAATGAAAGTTAATGAAAAAATCGATTTTGTCTATTGAGAAAAAAATTATATTTTTGATGTTGCGTTATCGCAACCATGGCAGTAAATGGGTTAAGTAAAAATAAGGTGAAAAAATAAGATACTTCAAATCAAATAAATGACAGTATATTTGGCACATTGAAAGGTAAGTTTTCACCAAATTTCGTAAAATCATTTTTTTAAACTCTTTTCCATGAGATTTGTAGTTTTGCCGGAAATCATTTATTTTCCCTTCCTCAAAAATTATATTTTAAACTGATTTTTATTTTTTTCTGATGGGTTTCTCCCTACTATTTTTTTTCACGTTTTACCATTTTTGAAGGCTTCAGCCCTGGTCAAATTATAATCAACTTTTCATGAAACATCTGATTAATGTCTGATAAACAAAACAGATCCGATAACGTAACTTTTTATATTATATAACTTCGACTTCGAAGCGAACTTCCACGAAAGTTGGAATTGACGTAATTTTCAACCTCTTCAGTACCACTTCAAATGAATAATCACATTTTCACTTTCTTTGATATTTCTTCTGACATGCCCGACTTTCTGTCATCCTTTTTCGAGTGAAACTTGTTGTTTATAAAGCCGTGAAAAGGATTCCTCTTGGAGAGAGTTAAATTCCACGAAAATTTCCAGTAGTCCAGTCAAAATAGACATTTCAGATCACAATAATTCGTATAGAATATTCACATTTCTCAGATATACATTATGAGAGGTCGGGAGTATCGTTTTTTTTTCGATTTCATTGTCGTAAATGATGTATGTCATCATGAAAATAACCCTCACAGAAAACTGAAAAATGATGAACAAATAATAAGACAAAAAGTTACATTGGAAATGAATTTTAGGGGTTGCGTTTTCCACCTCTTACAACCATGGGGTAAACCAAATAAATTCCTGGGTAAGTGCCTTTTTGGTAGTAAAAAACGTCAGGTTAATTTCAATATTGTAACTTTTTTAGTGCTCGTGAAAAAAATGTTATACAAATTTTATGTACCCCCTTCAAGGGGCTGTATCTTAACAAGGGATGCTCCAATGAAATTTATTTATATCTAAGATCCTATCTTTTTTTCGATGAGAAATCACCTCCTAAAATGTTTTACACTTATTCAATTATACCCTGTATAGAGGTGGCTTAGGTATCCAAGAATATATTATGAAACTGATACTTTTGGCATAGAATTATTTTCCAAGCATGCGATCGGTGGGGAATTCAGATATTTCAGAGTCTTTAATTATGCGCTCCCTCTCTTCATATTTAAATAAAACAAAGTGTGTGTATGAGATAATCGAACTTTTTCGTTCGTTTAAAAGACCTATTGATGCC